TCCTTCTAACCTCCATGCTTGAAACAGAGGTAAGTGAAGACTTCACAGATGATACTAAATATGTACTTTCCTCCATTGCCACAGTGGAGTTTACATTTTCAGATACCACACTACCCCTCTCTCCACTTGAGATGCCAGCTGATGACAAAATTAAACTAGGTAATGAAACCACAGATGGATTTATGACAGAAACTGCGGCTGGACTTTGCTCTACTGGCATACTGGAGCTATGTTCCAAACTAGAAGAACCAACTTCTGAATAAATTGACCCTACAGAGTCTGAAGATTTTGAAGTTAAAATTGCAGTTGTTTTTACAGAGGCTTTATTTACAGAGGGTCCCAAAAGATAACTTGAGGTTTCTATTGTATTTTCCAGAAGATTCGCTGAGTGAGATAAATTGATGGAATAACTACTAACTTGTGTAATCCTTTGATTAGTCACATCCGTGGGTGAAAAAAGCGACTCTGCAAGGGCAACAGGTGCAAGTATAGTTGACATATTTTCAGGTGCTCCTGTACTTTCTAAGTATTTCTTGTTTGAAGAAACTTCTGTAGATTGCACATCATGTTTATAGGATGTGCTCATTGACATTTGTAGTACTTTGGTTGCGTCTTGTGTCCAGTCTGACTGTAACACGGTGGAGTTGTTCCCTGTGATTTGTGATAATGACGGAGATGTGGATGCCTTATTATTATCAGACCTGGCATTTATTTGAGTTTGATAAGCGTTCACTTGCCAGATTGTATTATTTAAAGGGATAGTTGCGCTCCGTAAAATAACATCATTTGTTGAAAGGCTTTCCACATTGTTGAATGAACCAAGGATGAGCACTCCTCCTAATAACCATAACATGCATGAGGAAGCTACATCAACCACTGCCAGTAATCCTGTAAGTGATAGCGAATTTCCAAAATTATTTTGTTTCATTAACTGGGTTGAGAATGTTAGTTTTTAGCTTTTAAACTATTTACGGCAGCCGATTTACACTACCAACTCAGTTGATAAAACATAATTGAACTTGTTGTACTCACCCACCGATGCAGCACCACCGTTTGATAAGAACCCTACCCCGGCCCCAAATGGCGCTCTTGCTATTATCACCTTGCATGGATTTTCAATTCCTAACTCTGGTGGTCTTGTTTTTTGTTTTTATCATCAATCTCGAAAAAGAGTCGGTGTTAAGTGGTATTAGGCACCCATCTGCTTTACTATTGTTTGAATGAGGAGCCTTGATGCGATTTCCAGACGATTTGCGCACGATTTTTAGAATAGTCAATGTGATGAATCATTCTTAGAGGCGATGATCGAGCAAGAGTTGTTACCGAGAGCATATGTAATTCACGAATTCAACCGCAAATGAGCCCGCACCTAAAATGACCGCGCCTCAAATGACCTCAGCAAATGACCTGGTTTTTTTTTTTCCTACATTTCTACCAACAGCTAATCATGAAATAAAAGCTAACGGATAAATAAATGAACACGAACAAGGTAAAAAAATTCAAACAAGCTGGATTAGAAAGGATGCCCTATTAATAGAGAACTTAATGAAGCAGAGTTGTTTTTGAAACACAGACTTCAACAGGAAGAAACCATGGCTGGTGTAGTCTACAACTTTTTCATTCTCACGCAATCTCGGTCTTGTTGAGTGCAAGAAAAAGAGCATTTTAAAAATTACGCGCATTTTTCCGCGTAGACTTGAGCTTCAATTCTGAGTCAAAGATTTTCTTGACCTTTCTTGACCGATTCGAATCAGGGAGGAAATGTGACCGCTAAACAATTTATATATACAAAAAAGACAAAATCGAACAATTTTATTCAAGACGCCTTTTGTAGATGTCACATGCTCGAAAGCCATGGATATCTGCGGGAGAAAATATTGCCTTTGACTTACATAAAATGAAAAAACTACCATGATCCTTTAGAGAGCCCTTGCCGATGTGACATGTTGTAAGGTAGATATATTGACGGAGAGAGAGATCGTTTTTATCGATAGAAATAACTAACGGGGAAATATACTGTCCACCTTTGCCCAAAGCTAAAAATAACTTATATTAAATCGACAAATCCCGGCCAAAGCTGTAATTTTCCATTTCTCTCCGGTTATTTTCTCTTGGCAACATACAATGATGGCTGACAAGATCTTGTCTTCATATGGCAAAATTGTTAACATAGCCCCTGCATCAAAAGTCACTTCTTTTAATAGTTTTTCTGACAAATTTTTCGCTCCCAAGTGAAACGTTGGACCCAGATTCCACAAGAATGAAGTTATAGACCACGTAGCTTGCGAGTTAATCTTGTACCCAAATCCTGCCGTCTAACCACTTGGCCGTGGAAGGTCTGGGTAAGAGACTACTTACGAGCACGAAGGGCTCCGATGAAGGGCACAAAGCGCTAACGCTCGAAACGTCAGCTTTTATAATCTTAACGGTGGCCAATTTACCACTTCAACTTTGTTTATATCTTGAAATTACTTACGAGCACGCCTTGATGAGGCTGAGGGGACTGAGTGCTTCGTCGCAAGCGAGAATGTTTGAGGCGAGCTGGAGATAGGTCTACCATCAGTGTTAAACCCCGTGTATACCACTTCTCGGTTCGCTTTGCTGAAGGCCTTGAACTTTTTCGGAGGCCTAGAAATGCGTCTAACAAGGACACGTTCGCAAGCTAATGCAAGCGACGGTCAAAAAACACCAAATGAAAATAAAAGGGGAAGTTTGAAAAAGGTTCCCCTCATAAGGTCTTGGTGATCGCAACAGTGGTTTGCGATCACTGAAGAGAATAAACACATCGATAATCTGGAATATATGAATTGACACTGCCGAATGCCTTTAGGGATGCTCCTGATTGCTAAGATCGCCATTCTGAATGAAACTCCTTTCCATACAATCGTCACGATCAAGGAGATTGGTTTTCAATCTCAGTTGTTCTAGACACTGTGATTTAAAGACCGCTGTGACTGATGGGATTAAACTCCATGCCAGAACCTTTACGTAATCATGATGACATTTCCAAATTTAAAACTTCTCTGAAGACTTTCTTATTCAAAGAACATTTTGATCAAATTTCTGTCAGAATAATGTATATAGTCTAAATATTGCGATAAGAATTTTAATTTTTGATATTTACCTTTAATTTTAATTGCTGCGCAGCGAGCGCTCTTACCAGAATGCATTGTAGCTTTCAACCAGAGTGCACTGCGCCACAATTCTAGTGTTTAGTGTACTGCGTTACGTAGCGCTACTATTATAAGGACATTTTCCGTTTGTAATAAATCGTGTTGTTAATCCACTTTCCTAAATAAAGGCAAATTAACTAATCGCGAGCATTGTATGGTAAATCTACTATCTTGATCACAGAATGAAGGACAGTTGAATTGGAGCGCTGAAAAGAGTCACTTGATCAATGAAATAACTCTACCTTGCGTAAGTTGACACACCAAAAAGCTGGAAAGCAAAAGAGGTGCTGATTGGCCTATGCGACTCCTGCCATTCGCTAGCGCTTTAAAATTTTCTGTCCTCAAAGTCAAGCTCTTAATGACTTTCATTTTCGTTGCAATAATACCATGTCATTTCCTCATCTGTATGTTCTTGAGGTTTGGCAAAGCCGGATGAGATTGTGTTACAAAAGGCACTGAATATTTTCCCCCTGTGCGCGCGCTGTTTTCTCTGTTTTCAGTATTCTTTCTATCCCGCAGAAAATAACTTCAGAGATATTTTTCTCTGTGTAAGTCTTGGAACATGCAGGAAGATAAATCACTGCGTAAATTATGTCACACCAACAGAATGTGCCGCAGCGTTACTATATTTTAGATACACTAGTTATAATTTTTAGATACGAAATTTTAACTTCTCCTTTTATATATTTGTTTCATTATTGATGTAATTTGTAATCTACAAAATTTCGGTCTGAAATATTCAGTTGTAAAGTGCCATGAACATAAGGATGTGGCCCTATAGAAATCCCTGCTGCTATTATCATATGGTCGCGTTTTTGGTGATAACAGCGATGGTTAGGATTACCGTGAAATCACCGAGGCCGCGTAACGCGCGTGAATCCGCTGTTCAGTTAGTCTCCGTCGCAGCCGTTTTTTTTATGTCACGCAACGCTCCCCAAAAGAACGTTGCGTGACATAAAAAAAAACGGCTGCGAGGGAGACTACTGTTCAGTCTGACGCATAAAAATTTACCTTCTGTAGCGCTTGCCGCACGAATAATACGTCGACTGACGTAAACACGACCTTCATTTGAAAGGGAGAACAAAAGTAAAAACAGTAGCTTTTCAAAATTCATTGTCCTTTTCTGTGTTCGGGATATTTCTTGAATACTTGTAGACAGTCATCAGATACTATTTTTAATGTTTTTGTGTGTTAGATGCAAGTAAGTTGTACGTTTGCACAAGGAGTAGATCCTAAAGTAACTTTATTTAAACAGGGTTTGTTTGTATTTGTCGCTTCCCTAGATAAAGGAAAAAATTTAGAGGTGGAGTTCTTGTGCTGGAAGAGAGCTTAGATACTTCAGTTTGTTAGAAATATAAGGCTAATTCATAGCAAAATGCTAACAAAAAAAGTCGAAGAGACCGAGCCAAGTTTTACACTCCTTCAAATCGCAATTGAACAAATATTTCAACTCAAGGCTGGAAACAAACATTCTTACCGAAATCAACTTCAGAAAAAAGGAGTCGAAGCCAAAGCAAAATCGTAAACTAAAGAATGTTCCTCAACAGCTTTTTCAGAGCCGAACAATTCTTTCAGATAGAAATGCTTGTGTTCCCAAGGGAAAAGGGTTTTCAAAAGCAGTTAGATAAACTACACGTATGATGCACGATCCTCGCAGTAGAGAGCGCTATTTATGCAATAGCGAAAATCAGACCTGAAAAAATTTTTTTTTTTTTTTTTTGATAATGGACTGGTGGCCATTTTCTATGGTTTCATAGCTTCCTCATATCAATAATTGACTTTAACAGGAGACTGCTACTAGATGACCAGCTAACAGCGGTATGATTGTTAGAGATGAATGACTTGACATACTGTTCTTTCCTTTTGTTCTTGCATAATTGGTTTCCATTTACAATCTTCTAGTGCCTCATATGCAGCAACTAATGCAAACAGGCCTTCTGTTGTGGTACTTCGTCTATCCTGAGGGGAGAAAAATGACCCAGTTTAAACCAACAAATTGTTACCAACCCAAAAATGATTTTGTTTCTATGTAATTATACTAAATTAAATAAAAAATAAACAATACTATTATCTTACAGACTCTACTGATGACTCATTAACTTACCACGTTAAGTTTTGTTTCCCAATGTTTGTCTTCAAATTCTCCTGGATTTGTACCTCTTGGCACAAATGCAGCTGTAATTTAAATAAACAAATGAACAAGCAATCATTGCAAATTTAAAATGGAACCAATGTGACTCACAATGATATCAAATTTGTTTGTTTGATTCATTTTAAGATGCATTGCATTTGACAACTGAATTTTGCAATATGGGAAGAAAATTTGACAATTTATTGTCTAGAACATGCTTAAGATATGATCTATTTAAAAGAAAGAGTTGTACATCCTTACCTATTTTGGCTGGAATCCCTTTGAAATCTACCATGAAAACCCAATAATATCTTAAATTATTATACAGTCGAATTCAATCTCACTTTTCAAAATAATTTTGATTAAAGAATTATACAAGAAAGCTATAATTTATACCTTCATCATGAATTTTTGTTATTCCACATTTTCCTTGAAGTAAGTTTTCCCAGACCTTAGCTGTCCCTATACCAAGAGGTGTAACTAGACCTGCAGGGACACCAACATTCAGTCCATTGGTTTGCATATTCTCCATACTGATTTCTTTACATTTCCTTAAGAGCTAACAAGGAGAGTTTGTTTAATAATCAAGAGCTTTGTTGGTTGATGATCATTTCCTTTATTCTCGTGACCTTAGTGCATGATTCAACTGTGATACTGTTTGGAGAATTTAGATGCTAGTCATTTATAAAGGTCATAGGTTTAAAAAAAAGGTAGCCACTTAGTACTAAGACTCCAACCAATAATTCATATTTTTTTATATAGAAAATTCATTTTAAATCTGATTTAAATCAGTTGATGCCCAAATTAAGACCACTAAATTTGAGATCTTAATCTGTTTATGTCTAATGCACTGTTTGATGGCAACCAGTGTTCATTTAAAACAGGTTAAATGTGGAAACCTGTTTGATTTTACCAAGAGTAACAACATCAAACAAATACCTCAGCACTGTTTCATAATTTGGACAATACATAAAAGCATCTTTATCGGATAGGTTATAACTGAGACTTCACACATACTAAGGTTGGGCTACCTGTGGTTAATTTTGGCTTTGCAAAGAGCCAATTAAATCTAACAAGAACCTTTCTAGTGTGTCCATAATGATCTTTTTCCTGGTACACATTTGTCTATCAACATTTAATCGATATCACTGTAAGTTGATCATAATCAACTATTCTGAATGTTGACAGCACTACCATTAATTTTGTTGACTGTCCTGGTTTTCTAGTATTTGGGTGAACTTTATCGAGTCATCACTACTTTTGTAACTTTCTGTTACAGAGAAGTGACCAGGTAGGAACCATAAGGTGGGTTTAGCCCTTTTGCAAAAAAGCAATTCTACCCGGCCCAGACTTTCACGACGCTTTACTCCGCTAGGCTCCCCTCCCACTTCACTCTGGGTATGTGAACAAGGGTACTATAAAAAGTTAGTATCTGAATATTTTAATATCATTCCTTTAATCCAGTGCAATCAACGACTAAAACATCACAGCAATGAAAACTATTGTTTGTAATCTACTGCAATACTTCACCACATAGAGGATCTCAAGAGGATTTGATAATACGAAGACACGAGATCTTACCAAGGCCCGTAACAACAACACGGCGTTGAGATTTCCGCATCAAACTTCCACAACTTCTACTGATAATAGACTCGCAATGTCTTGCTCTCCTTAAAAAAGGAAATCTGGATTGCATTTCGGTATTTTTATCGAAATTCGGCAATATTTCATAAAAAAATTCAATTTATAAAAGCGTTATTTCAAAACTTTCCGCCATGTTTTTTGGGGTAACCAGGCCTTCTATACAAATATATCGTTCCCAAGGTCTTCTCCTCGTCCCCGCGTGCCCAGGCGCTCGGGGTAATCATACACTAAAATCCGTTGTTTTGAATTCATCGCAACCAAATCTCTAAGTAGAAAATATCAAACGACTAGCTACTGAGGCAAACCAAGCAGGAGAATATTCGTACACTTGTCACCAGGAGAAGATGGAGGTGGATTGGATATCTGATGCGGAAGCCCAGTGACAACATAGCCTCAGAACTGCAATGCGCTGGACGCCTGAAGGCAAACGAAGCAGAGGGCGACCGAAAACAACTTGGCGCAGGACTGTAGAGAAGGGACTATGGGAGCTCAATTACAGCTGGAGCACCATTAAAAAACTGGCTAAAGATAGGCAGGGTTGGAAGGATTTCGTTGCTGCCCTGTGTGCAACACAGACATGATGGGCAGTAAGTAAGTAAGTAAATCACTAAGGTTTTTGGATATCCCCTTTTAGGATGCCCAAAATACTAAAAGTGCGCTAAATAGCAGACTGGGGAAAAGAGATACGGTGTTCTGTGATTTATATCAGTTCTACTTGTCTACGTCAAAAGAAGTCAACATAATACATCATGCTTCTTTCCGAGTCTCCTGTTCTGCTCACTTTTAATGTTTTGGGCAGCCTTAGAGGGGATATCCCAAATACTGGTGATTTGGGTATTGGGGTACCCAAAACTTAGTGATACCCAAAACACTGTAACATCGCAAAGAAGAGAGACCCTGGGGATAAGTTTGTTAGAGACGCGGGTCTTAACGGTAACAAAAAAAAAAAGTACACATATTCATTGTACACACTGTCAAATTAGTTGATAGAATCTATCATCTTGTAATACTCCCAACCGACCCAGCGCCACAGTTTCTTTAGAAACTTACCTCTTTATTCACAACGCGCTACGTCGACTGTTAGAGAAAGCCATAACTACTAATTACAGCCTATTTCGGGTCAAGGTGAGGAAATGGTCAGGGAATGATCATTAGCTGCCACAAAAGGATGTGTGACGTTAACATTTCGCAAAAGTAACTGATTTTACGTCATAGAATTGGTAAGTTGACGACGGTAAGAATACAACAGAACAGGTAACTGTTGTCTTTTAGAGTAAGCAGTTCTCCGAACTCGATAGCAGAGGATAGCATAAACTTCAGTTCACAAGGCATTATTGACAAATAATTTTAAATCCTCAAGAATAATGGAACAAGCTTTCGGGCCCGAGCCTCCTCCAATTCAAGAAGTGGTTATCCCGTTTCTGACTAAAGAGGAAATGCCTTCCCAACGTGAGGAGCAAGAATCGCCAGAGATCCCAGCTGATCAACCGGGTAAGTTTCCATACCGATAGAGAAAAGACATATAATTATAATTTCACTTCGAGAGCTTGCGACTTCAAGAAAAAAGGCAAGAGAAGTGTTGTCCGTGATTTTTGCGCGCTTGTATGGTCAAAGAACAAATGTAGTTAATCAGGAGATACAGCTATCTACATATTTCACAATTTCATGGCGCTTGATCTCCTTTTTAGGCAAGTGCGTGCGGAAAAAACATCGTATCATTCTTCAAAGTTTCTCGCGACGAAGTAACCTTCACCCACTGAGCGATTAAAGGATAGGCGTTTCCTAATAAATTCGCAGTTTCCCGTCGAGATTGCATAAGAATCTTACTTAGTTGTTGAAATTAAATAATGCAAGTGAAAAAGGCAGTTACTCTAAGTCAGGTAGTTTTAATTAAGACTTAGGCCTGAAGAAAGCACCCAGCACTAGAAAGATATCAATAAGTTTTTATTTGTCTAACTTTATATAAATTTCCTTTTTTGTGTGTATGTTTTTTTTTTAAGCTTGCTTTTTTGTGTCTATTAAAGCTGTTCGTTTCCATCGCGAGCTGATTCGAAACCTGTGAGAATTCCAGCCTTCCCAATGTGACAAAACGGCTCGATTTTTACAAAGGGACAATTTAACAAAAGAAAAACTTCAAAGGTTCTTTGATTATCATACTTTTGCTGGTAATACCTCCTTTCGAAATCGACTATCCTTATCAATAGCACACTGGTGATGTAAGAAAAACCAGAATGGGACAACACAGAATTATTCAAAGTTGATTCTGGTAAGCTGTTTCGAACGAAGTATAAAAATCTATTTACAGTGAATTTCGATTTAAAATCGTGGTGTGCCAGTGAAATTGACTGAGCACGAACCTAGAATTTATGTTATCAGCGCTTCTCATAAATTCCTCGCTCGAGGCACACGGTCGAAATAAAGTGCATATCAATTTCACGCCCTTGCGAAGGAGACTGAGAGTTTTTTAGGCAGCTGCTCATCTCTGTGTCATGATTCACTGCTAAAGAAAAAAAAAGCCTTTTGAACGCCAGAGTCAAAGCTGGGTACCAAAGTGTCTGCATGTTTGTTTCAGGTGGCTGGAATATCATCCTCTGAGTGTTATATTTGGAGAGTCCTTCATTCATATCTGGTGATACGCTACTATCAGATTTTAAAAAAAACAGCCAGCTTTTTCTAATCTCCGTTGGTTTTGTTTCTTTTCGACGGAATAATCGGAGGATGAATATCGATCTAAGCGGAGTTTATTGTGTGGAGACTATCTGGTGAATTTGCACCACGTGACACAAAGTAACCACTGAAGTTGCGCGAAAATTAATGGCTTATGAATCAATATTGGATTATGTTTACTGTAGATAGTGTCGGTCGACACTTTCGGTCGATATAACGGTTGAGTGTCGATCGAGTATCGGCCGATACTTTGGCCAATTTAGTCACGTCGACACTCGGCCGATACCTTATCGATACTTTACCGATAGTCTGCCGATGTCTTACCGATACTCGGCCGACCAAATGTCGATTGAGTCTCGTTCGATATGTCGGTCGTTAATTGCCCAACGATATCTTACGATATCTCACTTTTGAGCTTCGATATAAAAGTTTATATAATCAGAGGAATTATCGGCTTGCTAGAACAAATTAGCTCACCGATAGTTCACTGATAGTCGACCGATATCTTGCCGATAGTTCACCGATAGTTTACCTATCGGCCGACACTTGGCCGATATGTCAGCCGAATAGCGGCCGACACTCGACCGTGATATCGGTCGAATATCGGCCGAGTGTCGGTCGAGTATCGGCCAACATATCGACCGATACTGGACCGATACTCGACCGGCACTCGGTCGATATTCGTCCGATATGTTGGCCGAGTGTCGGCCGATAGTGCCGACCGACTGAGTGTCGACCGACGCTACCTGTAACTAAAGTAAACATGATTAGATAGTAAAGGTGATCCTCAATGTTTTCCTTCGTTTTACTGTTATATAGTGGAACACAAACAAGTTTTTCCAAACGTTGAAGTGATCAAGAAGCAAGCATGCCGTACTCGTTTTACAATTTACCAAAGAGCAGAACTGGAGGCGACATTTTCAACAACGCCTTACTTGACTCCTTCCCAACGGGTGGCTTTGGCTTCGAGACTCAGAGTTAAACCTGTCGCAGTGCAGGTAACTTACATGACTGCTTTGAGAAAAAACTGGATGTTATTCATTTGCAATTAGCCTGGCAAAAAATACAGTCTTTGTACCCCTCAGGGAATCGAACCTCAGTTTTTTATTATTGTTATTACCTGACTGAATATTTTAAGATCCACATTTGAACGTACGACTGAGCTTTAATTAAACCTCGTTTTCTTTTAGCTCCTTTCCCACCAAAATTTAATTCTAATGCACTTTAACTGAATTGCTAGTCATTTCGTGTCTCTCCTTTTTAGTCGTGGTTTAAGAACAGACGATTCAAGTGGCGCAAGGAAGTACGGGAAGGCTCTCAAGCCTCGGCATCTGCGTTCCCTTCTTCCCCACCAAGTATATTCTTAATGTATCAGCCACGATTTGTCTACAGTTCTGGTCAGTTTCCAGTGTCAGCTCAGTGCCAAGGATGTTTTACTGGACAATCATCCAGAGACTCGTATTCGCATGTAGACTTCACTCCGTATCCCTACTCATCTCACTGACCAACTAAAATATTTCTGCATCGTTTCGTCATATATATATATATATATATATATATATATATTCATAATTTTCCTCTTNCGCGTTTTAGGGACAACTAAGTTCACCACACCTTAAAACTTTACGAAACGCTTAAATTAAGAACTGTTTCGGGGCGGATAGGAAGAGATATTTTCATTTTGGTTTACTTATTTAATCTCGTAACACTAATATCTGCGCTGGTCCAGTCTTACGCCAAACAAATTGTAAATGTTTGTTTAAATTCTGAGTTTAATTTACTAAAGTACAGGTCCGGTTTGCCAAGGGAATACATTTAGTCTACGGAAAATAAAAACCAAACATTTAAGGTAAACCGTAAATTGATAAAGTATTTTTTCGGTCAAAGAAATCAAGCAAAAATTAATTACTTGATAATGAAATTAGTGTTGTAGTTTAACATTTAAAAGAAATACTCTGATTTCAACAACCAAGCCACGCTGTCAACTTAGAATTTTTTTCCTCCAAAATCTGGAGCATTGATACCTCCAAGACTCAAACGAACGCGCGAGACTAACTTCTTTTTAAAACACGAAATGTTCCAGTCAACAATTTATGTTTACTATGAGAAAAGAAACTTCCCGCCCTCTTCAAGTAACTGGAGTCGAACTTCTGAC